TTTTTTTTTTTTTTTTTTTTTTTTTTGGACCGAAGAGCCCTGCGGGGAAAGTGCTTGGCCTTGAAAGTCTTTATCTACAGATAACAAACTTGGCTGGGCGAGAGGTTTTCTGAGAAACATTCACATGAGCAGCTGTACGCTTACCACGTTCCCGGGGAAATCCCAGCGGGGGGGGGGGGGGGGGGGGGGGGGGGGTGGCGCCCACACAATCTCCCCTGCCCCCCCAGCAAGCAGTTCTAATCGGCGGGGAGTACAGCCTAAGTGGGGCCGCCTTGTCCTGGAAGCTACCTTTGGGGGCGGGGCAGAGCACACCTTGCCAGGCCCCTCCGGAGTAACGCGTGGAGTGCTCCACCTGCGCAACAGACCCTGGGCTGCCAGGACTTTGTGTTCTGGCAGCCTTCAAGCCACCCCACAAGGAACCTTCACCTCTCTCCCCTGCTATGCTCCCCTTCCAGCCGGCTCTTGACTGTCCTCCACAGTAAACACCCCCTCCTGTCCGGAGCCCAGACCCCTCCTCCCAGACCCCTCAGCCTTCACCGCCTGCCGGAACTGACACCTTACTCCCCGCTCTCCAAGGTCTCGGCTTCCCCACAGCCCTCCCCCGTGTTGGCAGTTCGTTTTTTTTCCACACACCAGCCTCCCTGCTCCCCAAGGCCACAACCTCCGCTGAGGTTTGAGCCATGCCTTGGCCCATACCCACCTCCTCCTGGGTGCCTTCCTGACTCTACCTTGGCAACAGTCTCCCCAGCCTTCTCACCCCCATCCCAGGTGGTCTTCACCGTCCATCCATCCAGCACCTTGGGCTCTCTGTCCCTTGACTCCATCTCCAAACACCTTCCCCTCCTCTCCATTTCGGCCCACACCTCCCCCTGCACAGAACCTCTTCCCAACACCAGGAATTTGGACATCGTGCCCCCCTGTCATAATTTCCCAACCTTCTGGCCTCTTCATCCGGTGATTCCCACCCTGCCAGCACTGCCTCCTCGGCCTCACGTTCATTCCCTTCTCCGCCTTCTCCCAGGCTGCCAGCCCCTCTGGCCCACGGGGCTTCCTCCCCATCCAGCTTGAAACGCATGTTCCACCTCTTCAATCCACCCTTCTCATCCAACGTCTCAAAATCACCGGTGTGTTTCTTTGAACTCTTTTTGAAGTTTATTTGGTGGCGGAGGGGGAAAGAGAGAGGAGAGAGAGAATCCCAACCCAACGGGGCTCTGTGCGCTCTCAGCACACAGCCCCCAATGCGGGGCTCGATCTCACAAACCATGAGATCGTGACCTGAGCCGAGATCAAGAGTCAGTCGCTTCACCGACTGAGCCACTCCTCACCGATGTCTTTCCGAACCTCGGCCCTAGAGGAGTCAACAGACTTTTTTCTTTTTGTATTAGAGAGAGGGAGAGAGGGAGAGAGAGAGAGAGAGAATGCTCATAAGCAGGGGAGAGGGGCAAAAGTAGAGAAAAAAAATTTTTTTTTTTTTTTTTTTTTTTTTTGAGAAACAGAGAAAATCTTAAGCAGGCTCCACGATCAGCACAGAGCCTTGACACAGGGCTCAATCCCATGACTCTGGGATCAGGACCTGAGCAGAAATCAAGAGTCAGACACTCAACAGCCTGAACCACCCAGACACCCTCAACAGCCTTTTTGCTGAGGAGACCCCACCCTGGAGAAAAGCACACCGCCTCGGAGATTGGGCCTCCAGATCGTTGGCCACCCACCTCAGCTGGGCCCTCTACACTGCCACCAATCTCTCTGTTCTAGTGCCAAGGGGCCCGTCCTGGGGAGCACAGAGCTCCTCTGACTTAACCCTAACCCTTCCATTCTCTCCAGCTCCTCAGGGGCCTTGAGCCACATTTCCTGCTCTCTTCCCTCCTGCAAGGACAACCTTCCACCCTCACCCGGAAACCTCAAACAGCATCTAAGTAAGTAAAAAGCGTTCTAGTCAATCTGAGAAATACGTAGGCCATCTCTGGACCTCATCTCCCTCCAGCCACTGCCCCCTCTCTCTCCTCTCCTTCCTAACCGGAGGTCTACACTCCCTGCCTCCCTTCCCCACCTCCTTACTCCCTGTCCTGCTGTCATGTGCCCCCTGCCTCCACCACACCTGTGCTCTCTCACAGGGCCACCACAGGGGCCATTCGGTGTTGCTCTGATCCAGCTGACCCTCCTCCCCACCATGTTTGGGACATCACCCTCCTGTTGTGCACCTGTATCTCAGCCCCCTCCTCCCCCCCCCCCCCAGGATGGAGCACCCTTAAGACAGGCCCTTTGCTCTCAACACCGACCGCCATCAAATGCGGTCGGTCAATGCGGTCAAATGCGGATGTCCCACTATCTACGTATCCAAACAGGTTCATCCAGCTGCCCCCGAGACTCCTCCACTCAGACGCTGTGGAGACTGCTCAGTGTCAACGCAGCCAGAACCCGATTACCTTCTCTTCAGCTCACTTCTGTGTCCCAGTCGGTGGGACATTCAGTGAATGGCTGGGCCCAGCGGGCAGTTAAAGATCAATATTTACAGAACCAGGGGCGCCTGGGTGGCTTAGGCAGTTAATGGCGGACTTTGGCTCAGGTCACGATCTCACTGTTGGTGAGCTCGGAGAGTGAGAGCCCCGCATCCGGCTCTGCCCTGACAGTGTGGAGCCTGCTTTGAATTCTCTCTGTCCCACTTACGATCGCGCGCGCTCTCTCTCTTTCTCTCCAAGTAAATAAGTGAATTAAAAATATATATATTTGCAGAATGAATAAATCCTCCCTCATTCATCACAGCCAATCCCTGCCCCAGCCAAGACCCGCCCATCCTCTTGCTATATCCCTGTGCTTCTTGCTTAATTGAAATTGGCTCTCCCCTAGGCAGCCTTCGGAAGGCTTCCAGGCCCCTCAGGTTCGGCGGGGCTGGGACCTTGCGGGTGTTCCCACGGCCCGTGAACGTCGCACCACCGCGCGGATCACAACGTGCTATGGGGCCGGCCCTGGTCTGCGGCAGCTGGGCTGCATTAGGGGCTCCACTTCCACCAGCGCCCGTGGCCCAGCACACACGAGCCGCTCAGTAAGCTTTACTCCTTTGCACTGAATGAATGGAGTACTGGGTGAAAGGGACCACAGCGCGCCACGCAGTCTGCAGCCAGGCCCGGCGGGCGTCAGCCCCCGCGCTCCCAGCTCAGTCTGCACGCCGCAAGCCCGAGAGCCGTCCCACGCGGCGAGCGAGGAACCCCGCCCCATTCCACGCGGCGCCCCCAACAGCCAATGGAAATGGTCTGGGGTGGCACCGCCTCTACACGCTATACTTGTACGAGCCAATGGGCGTGCCCTGCGGCGAGCGCCGCTCCCGCCGGGGCTTTGCAGCCAGCCAATGGGAGTGGCCGACGTAGCCCTCTCGGGGGCGGGGCGGGTGGTCAGGGCGCGGAGTCCTGGGACGCAGCGCGGGTCGGGCCCACTTCCCACGTCGGCTTTCCGGGCTGGTGCGGCATCCGCTCCTCACCGGCGCAACCAACCGATAATGGGGGCTCTGGGCGTCCGGCGCGGTCTGGAGTGGCTACTGGGCCTCTACTTCCTCTCCCATGTCCCCATCACTCTGCTCTTGGACCTGCAGGTGGTGTTGCCGCGCGAACTCTACCCCGTCGAGGTGAGGGCGACGGTCGGTCCAGACGGCCGGTCGCTGAGTTTGGGGCCCCTCCGCGCATTGCGATCGTTCCCCGGCGTCCCCAAGACCTCCCCTCCCCCGCTCGCCGCCCAGCCAGGGTTCTGCCCCCCTTTCCCTCCCTCCCTCCCTTCTTAGGTCCTGCCCGTGCCCCAGCCTCTCCTCACCCTTCATCTCGACGTCTTGCTTGGGGTTTTCGATGGTCCGGACCGTTATCCCAAGCTGCTTGGGGCAGACACTTTGGTCGTGTTAAAGACAGTTCTTCCCTGGGTATGCGTAAGGCTCGCAACACCCCACCTCTGGTCACTTGTATTTGAGGGAAGTAGCCTGGATGAACCAGTGTCTCAATCACGTGTTGGATTTGTGTGTTCTTTGAAAGAGCTTTAAAATAACGTCTAATCCCAAAGCAATAGTGCAAGTAGCATTAGACCCATAACACAGGGCATTCACGGATCGTCATTGCTTCGGTCTTAGGATCCAGCGACTTCGAAAGCTCGTAAGTAAATTAACGACGCCTTTTCAAATCAGCCCTTTTAATTAGGTTCGAGTAAGAATGATCACCTGACTAGAAATAGAGGCGAGAAACCCCCATTTCCTCGTTGTTAATGAGTATTCCTTACCCCAAAGTTTGCTTTAATGCTTTTCGTTTCTTCAGAGCCACCGTTTTATTTTACCTGGTCCTTTCACCTCTGGACCCTGTAACCTTCTCCCGTGGAGCTCCTGTCCTCAGTTCTGTGCTTCTCCACATTGTGTGCAGAACTGTGGGCAAGACTGGCTTGTCTACCTGCTTCCCTTTAGGTGCTTTTTCTCTGCAGAGCGGGGGGGGGGGCCCCCGCCTCACCTGAGGTCCCTGAACCCCTGGGTATACCATGGGGTATGCAAAACTGTGTGGGCCTTGTGGTTTCTGGGAGGAGAGTCACAAGCTCACACATACAGGGTATATTAGTTTCCCGTTGCTGCTGTAACAAATTACCAGAAACATGATGGCTTTAAACATTTGTTCTCTTACAGTTTTGGAGGTCAGAAGATGAAAATGAATCTCGCAGGCCTAGGGGAATCTTTGAAGGTCCTAGGGGAGTATCTGTTCCTTGCCTCTTCCAGTCTGGTGGCTGCCAGTGTTCCTTGGCTTGTGGCCCTATCGCTTCAGTCTCTGCTTCTGTCATCATTTGGCCGCCTTCTCTTCTGTAATCCAGTCTCCCTCTGCCCCACTTTTATACAGACACTTGTGGTTACATTTAGAGCCAACCAGGTAGTCAGCATAACCTCCCGTCTCAAGACTCAAAACCCTTACCTTAATCACATCTGCAAAGTCTCTTTGGCCCTATAAGGTTACGTTCAGAGCTTCCAGAGATTAGGAACTTTGGGGACTGTTACTCGGCCTGCCACACAGACCCAGGTAGCACCCGCTTTCTCAGCAGGTCGCCACCGTTCTGCACCAGCCATTAGTTGCCTTGAAGAAAGGAGCCTTGTCTGTGGTTTTCAGAGTCTGTGTGGCCAACAAAACTCAGGCAGGCTGCCTGTTTAGTCTTTGGCGTGATGAGTCCCTTTAATACTGGGCACTTACGTTATTTACTCCAGGTTACTCCGGACTTAACAGCTGGTGCTTTCTTGATCTCTTCTGAATATGCCGTTCCCACAGGTTCTTGCTTACCACCCCCAAATACAGTCCAAATGTGTCCAGCATCATAAAGACCCCATTTCAGCTTATCTCTTTGATTTGGTAAAGTTTTCTCGGTTTTAATGTTGACTTACTGTAAAAGGTCAAGGGCCAGTGCCAGTGGGACCTGGCCAGAGATTGTGTATGTCTGTGGCTTTCCATCTGATGCTGTTTGAAGGTGTTGGCGACACGGGGGGGATCCTATTTTGGAAGGGCTGTTGTCTCTCTTCACTCTTGTTGCTTTGGAGTTGAGATTGATGGTTTTGTTGCTTGGTTATGGGGAAAATAATAACAAAAGCCTTGAGGGATTCTCAGATTCTCTTTGAAAAAATGCCCAGTCTTCACATCTGTTGTGTTTTTCTTCCCCAAATAGAAGGAATTTTCTCCTAGAACTAAAATGCTTGTGGAGATTCCCATAATGGTTGGGGCTGATCTTCCTTGGTTTGAACCGGTCAATACTTGGAAAAACTCTTACTCTGAAACCAAAAGAATTTAGTTTGGATTGGAACATGGAGAGGATGGGGAAGGCATTGTGCGGTATCGTTTGCAGCGGGTAGCATTGGTTCTGTTTAAGGTGAGCGTCTAGGTGTGAAATCGGCCTGTGCTCATCCTAAGGTAGAAAAGTGCGGGATTGTTCAGTGGCAATTCCCGGTTTAGAAATTCTGGTGCCAGGGGTGCCTGGGCGGCTCAGTCAGTTAAGCAACCGGCTCTTGGTTTCGGCTCAGGTCATGATCTCACGGTTCGTGAGTTCAAGCCCTTCAATCCCAAGCAGGGATACTCTGATTCTCTATCTCTCCCCCTCCCCGCCTTCCCACTCACGAGCCCGCACATGCGCGCTCTCTCTCAAATAAACTTTATCAAAGAAATAAACTTAAAAAAATGGATTGTGGCCTTAAAAATGTAAAATAATCTATTTTAAAAAATCCCTGTTTATAGGCCAGGTCAGTAGTTTAATGGACACCAATGGTAAGTGGAGTCCAATGTGTCAGGTATAGGGGTGTCTGGGTGGCTCAGTCGGTTAAGTGTCCAACTTCCGCTCGGGTCATGATCTCGTGGTTCCTGAGTTCGAGCCCCGCGTCGGGCTCTGTGCTGACAGCTTGGAGCCCGGAGTCTGCTTTGGATTCTGTCTCCCTCCCTCTCTGCCCCTCCCCTGCTCACACTCTGTCTCTCTCAGAAATAAATAAAAATTAAAAACAAAAAATGTGAGTCAGGTAATAAACCATTTTGGGGGACTTACCTAATAAGAGTAGTTCTTAAGGACCAGTTGCATGCTGCGCTCTTAATAGGATTAAACTTGAATTTCTCCACATACGTGTTAAGTTCAACTAAGTAATTGTAAGATTTACTCTGTGCTTGCCATTGTTCTAAAGACCTTGTACGTTAACTCATTTAATCTTCCCATTAGTGAAGGAAGTGCTATAATTGGGAAGCAAGTTCAGTGAGATTTAAGTGCTTTGCCCAAAGCCCGCACCCGGAGCCCTTCACTCTACCAGGGGCCTGCGGTTTGCTTTCCCTCAGCCCTTAGTCCAGGTCCTTTCCGGCAGCATGCGGCTCGCAGGCGACTGTGGGCGGGCGCTAGGATCCTAATTGATGACCTACAAGAGCTGGCTGAGTTTTGCTGATCTCATCCTGGATTTATGAAATAGACTGTATACAAATGGAACAGAAAATGAAATCAAACCAGGATGCCTTTTAAATTTCTACCGTAAATCTTGACAGCAGGTCATTCCCTCCAATATTTTTTTTAAATTTTTTTTTAACGTTTATTTATTTTTGAGACAGAGAGAGACAGAGCATGAACGGGGGAGGGTCAGAGAGAGGGAGACACAGAATCTGAGACAGGCTCCAGGCTCTGAGCTGTCAGCACAGAGCCCGAGGCGGGCTCGAACTCACAGACCGTGAGATCATGACCTGAGCCGAAGTCGGCTGCCCAACCGACTGAGCCCCCCCGGGGGCCCCCCCCCCCCAATATTTTTTAAAGAATATCTGGAGAGCAAAAAAAGGATCTCCAAAAACATTTGGCTCAAGTTGCTTGTTCCACAGACGAGGAAATAGAGCCCAGGAGAGGTGCAGCGACTTAACCTTTATGAATTTTTTTCTGCCACCTTACCGTCCTGAAGAGTGCCTAGAAGGAAGCTAAGGGTATTGCTGTGAGTTTCAACTTCAGATCAAGTACAAATTAGACATCACCCGGTCGATAAGCTGGTAATCTAGCCAGAGCCTTTCTGAAATTAATATCATGCTAACAGAATGTTTGTTTCTGGATATTTGCTTAAAGCTCAGCTTCAGCGGTGAGGCCTTGGTTTCACAATGGTGAGCCTTTATCTTTTGACTAAAAATTAACAGGAAAAATACTGCAATGGAAAAAAATGGCTTTTCCACTGCAAGCTAAATCCTTACATTGGAAGTTCCCTTTATTTGCTGTAACTTGATATTATATATATATTTTTAGCTTTGGAGACAGGTGTGGCAGGACAGCGCCATCTCCAGGATGTAAACTGTGACAGACCTTTTGTAGTCCCATGAGATGCGGGGGAGCCCTACGCCTTGGGCCCTTAAAGGCACAGAATGGGCAACCTCCAACCTTTCTGCTTCCTTCCACTGCTGGTAGCCATGGGTCTGCATCTTTTTTTTTTCAGAGAGAGGAAGCACACGCGAGCACATGAGTCGGGGAGAGGGGCAGAGGGAGAGAGAGAATCTTAAGCAGGCTCCATGCTCAGCTGGGAGCTGGCGCGGGACTCAGTCCCACAACTCTGGGATCATGACCTGAGTGGAAAATCAAGAGGTGGTCACTCAACCGACTGAGCCACCCAGGCGCCCCTGGATCTGCATCTTTTGATTTACCAGTGTAATCAGAGGAGGGTGGGCCCCAAGCTAGAACCGGGACTGCTAACCCTCAAGCCTTGACAGCCTGGAAGCTCTACAGTTTGTGGTTTGGGCAGTTTGTTCTCCAGATGTCCTGTGGGTCTCCTAAAAGAGAACTCTTCAGAACTACAGTAGTTAAGAATGATGAGGAACTTGAGATTTAGGGATTCAGCTGTCTGAAAGTGCATCTTAAAGAGGTTAAACTTCTCTCCCTTCCATTCCACGCCCCCCCCCCCCGAAAAAGACAAAGAAACTCAATTCATTTCTGTATTTGAGGCAGTCTGGCCCTCGGAGCTTGGTGTGCAGCTGCTGTTAAAGGACAAATGTTAGGGTGGTTTTCACAGCCGTTAGCTGACATGCAGGGCTAGTGTTACCCGGAGTCACGAACGGGTAGCAGAGGGGCTGGAAGAGCTGAGGAAGGCTTGGAGGAGGGAACATTCGAGTCAGAGCTAGGGAGTCTTTAGGAAGGGGCCATCTAGGCTGCCTCGGGGCTGGGCAGTGAGGGACTCTTCGGGGGTTGGAGCGGCCAGCCTGTCCTGCCAGGTGGCTGTGTTCAATGTGCTCGTTCTCTCTCCTCAGTTGAGAAACCTGCTGAAGTGGTATACCAAGGAGTTCAGAGACCCTCTGCTACAGGAACCCCCAGCGTGGTTTAAGTCCTTCCTGTTTTGCGAGCTCATGTTGCAGCTGCCTTTCTTCCCCATAGCAGCCTATGCCTTCTTCAAAGGTTGGTAACTGGGGGGAAAATCCCATTTGTGTCCTGATACCCAGTCCCGGAAATCTTTGGGGGAAGTATCTCAGAGGAGAGTGATCCCTGTAGTCTGAGGGTCACCTAGGGTGGGGTGGGAATGGCTAGATCTGACATCAGTGTGGCTCAGGTGGATGCCTGTGTGGGTAGCTGAGCCGAAGGACTGTCACCTGGAGATCTCTCCTACACCTGAGGCTGCTTCAAGATCGAACTTGTTCCTGTTTGTTGTCTTTTTTTTTACCCCTGCAGAATTTATCATTAGCTTTTATTTTTCTGATTTGGGGAGCACCATGCTGGCTTTTCAGCGGTAGCATCAGGCTAATCCCTGAAGGGCTTAACTTCTCATTTATTCTTACAGTGTTCCCGTGTGACTTAACGCTTTTAGAAAGACGGGGGCCATACTAATGTACATGATCACTAAGCTCATACAACGAGTTTCCCACTGGAGCTCCCAAATCCATCTCCGCAGAATCTGTTGATCTTCTATTTAACAGATGCTGTGGGCAGGCCCTTCCCCCTGCCTTTTAGGCCAGACTGGTGTAGATTGTAATGGCCGTTTTACTGCCCTAGAGTTTCTTTTTCTTCCTTTCTTTTTTTTTTTTTAATTTTTTGTTTTTGAGAGAGAGAGAGAGAGAGAGCCTAAGTGGGGGTGGGGCAGAGAGAAAGTGGGATAGAGCATCCAGAGTGGGCTCGGTGTTGACAGCAGAGAGGGCTCAGACTCGTGAACCCCGAGATCATGACCTGAGCTGAAGTCAGACACTTAACTGACTGAGCCACCCAGGCGCCCCACTAGAGTTTTTCTGAATTAAATTCCAACCCCCACCCTTGGCGCTTTAGCAGCCGGTGGGCTAGAGCCCCAGCTTTGTGCATTAGGAGATACTAGAACACATCGGGTTTTCCATTTGTTTGTACTTGGAAAGGAGGTAGATTCCGTGGAAAGGGAGCAAGCGTGGAGACTGGCGTGGGCGCCCCTGGAGTCGTGGACATACCTAACGCTTACCTCTTTCTCTTCCCCCAACTTCAGGAGGCTGCCGGTGGATCCGCACCCCTGCAATCATGTACTCCGTTCACACCATGACAACTTTAATTCCAATTCTCTCCACATTGCTATTTGAGGATTTCTCCAAAGCCAGCGGTTTCAAAGGACAAGGACCTAAGACTTTCCACGAACGACTAACCCTCATATCGGTCTACGCCCCCTACTTTCTCATCCCTCTTATGCTTCTGCTTTTCATGTTGCGGAGCCCCTACTACAAGTATGAGGAGAAAAGAAAGAAGAAATGAGAGAAATGACCACTGGCCCGGCGGGAGATGCCCACAGGGCAGTTTCCTGTTGGACCCGGTATGCAGAAAACTGCTCAGAACCCATGTTTTTCGGTAGCGTTCGAACCACACCAGCAACACACAAGAGCAAGACACTGGCAGGAGCCCCATCAGACTCTCCCCTTCTGAGAACACTGGCACCAACGGACCAATCACCTGAGGACGGACAGGGGGGTGTGCGCTGGGTTATAGGGAGGTGGAGCCAAATCCCTCACTGTGTGCCCAAGTTCCGCCGGGAGCAGGACCAGACCAGAAACTGGATAAACTTCTGAGACACGTGGCCTGCTTGGCATGTTCACGAGTCACTTGACCCACAACGTACAGGTGACTAAACCCTCGATTCATGATTCTCTACAGCGTGTCATTAATCAGCAAAATGAAGAGTGGGATGTTTCAGGCCATTTTTAAGTTTAAAACTGTGACTTTAATATTCATTGAAAATGATATCCTGGGTTTTTTTGCCTCCCCCTCTGGTGGGGGGAAAGGTCCTGTAAGAGGTTTAGACTTGGGTTTTGCTCAACGGTTAGCTCTGGCCTGACTTCCAGAAATGGGTTACGCTGGAAGGTGTTTTCTTTCTGTCTTAAACGGGTCATCCCAGAAAAGATTTTAAGTCTCCTTAAAGACCTTAGTCTTCTGTTTTTACAGACCACCTGACATAAGTCCCGCTCTGAGGTCTAGTGTCTCAAACCTCTTCTGGAAGTGTGCTTCCAGGGGGATAACGTCACCTCCCTGATAGTTTCGTCATTCCTGGCTTGTTCTCTAAGTAGAGGGGCAGCTGGGCCTGACGTGTCCGTTGTGTAAATACAGGAGCTCTTCGTTGGTGTTCCTTAGTTTTCTCTAAATGCGTACTCAAGGCCAACTCAAAACCAAAAACTCAGTGAATGCATGGAAAATGGTAACTGGTCCTTCCTCTTTTTATCTGTTTTGCTCACAAGTCATAATGGTCTGATTGATGGGGTACCATCTGACACCTGTGTCCGGTCCCAATAAAGGTAGCTGCCGACGACTGCCTGCTTCATTTCGTGGCCTGGGGGCTAGAGCGTCCGGGGTTCCCTTACAAGGTGTTCCATGTACACTTCAAGGGCAACAGGAAAAGAGGCAGATCAAGCCATTTGAAAACAATAATTTATTGCTCTTTCTTTGAAAGCTTTGTGACTTTACAAAAAAAAAAAAGGGTCAAAATTTACAGACTGCTCAGTTCAGGCTAAGAGTGCCAAGAGGTGAGAGCCTGGACCACTGTGGCCACGGGGTAACTGCCCAGCAGATGTTTGCTGACATTTGCAACAAGCCCCCCAGACTTGCTTACTGCCTTCAGAGATGCTGCGTTTTTTCCACACCATCTCTCAGGACATACTTGGGTCATTGGTCAAGTCACTGGATTGGTACAGAGGTTTTTTGGGTTTTGTTTTTTGCCCGGCCTGCTATAAAATGAAATTTCCAGTTCATTTCTGAAAAATAAATTGGTCAATAAATTCATTTTGTTCTGCTTCTACTTTACACAAAGCTTCATATTCAACCCGATACCTGCAAAACAAAATTGTTAGAAGCCCTAAAAATGGATGAAATAAACCGTGGACTTAATTCTTCTAGAGAAGAATGTAAGCGATTTAAACGATCCCAAGAAATGGTGTGAGTTCATAATGAAGAAGTTAGGGTAAGAAAGAAAGAGGCCAAGCCCAACCCAGGGCCACCCGTGAGAAGTCTCCAGGTCTTTTCCTCTAGGAGAACTAGCCAGCTTCACGGACTCGCTACCGGAGCCTTCTAGCTCCCAGACCACTAGAGGTGGTTTTGTATTAACACGTGTCCTTTTTCCTTCTCATTAAACAGGACTTGACTTTATTTTTTTAAGTCTTCAAGTCAGATGGCAGGTGGGACCCTGTTCCCGAGAGGACAATGGTGAAGAATAAGGACAAGAGGTGGCCACTCAAGAAGGAAGAATAGAACTGCAGTCGAGCAAAGAACTTTCTCTGCACCCTCACCTCTTACCTTTCAAGCTGCATTTTCTTTTCTGCTATTAGGGCTCGGAGTTGCTGCTGTTGGGCCTCCCTCTGCTTTGCTATAGATTTGAGCAAGTTCCGAGCACCAATGGCCTAGAAAGAAGGTCGTGGCTTCGTTAAAACCGTCTTCAGCTAAGTCCTCAGCCAAGGGAGGGCCACTCGGGGGCGGTCTCAGTGCCCAGCCGGGGACAGACCGTCGAGCCCCAGAGCTTCTGGAATAACCTGATGAGACCTGCATCGCGGCTCAGGGGCAGATCCGTGAGTCCCCCCGCCCCCGGAGTCTGGCACACGGGTGCCAGTGGCCCCTCTGGTGCACCATTGAGCCCTGTGTCCTTTGCCGGGTCACTGACCCCCCCCCCCCCCCCGTATGCCTTCTTCACTTACAAAAGCGTAAGACCACCCATCTCAGCGATGTGAACATGAAATGATGACAGTGTACTAGCATAAAAGAGTTCGACTAGCGGAAAGAGTTGACTGGGAATTGTTACTTAGAATCCCGTTTTACTTAAAGAAAATAATCCCGTGGGGGGG